GTCCTTGTTTTGCGCCCGCCTGGGGGGGGGGGAGGCGATGTTGTGTTCCAGACCACAGTGCTTTGGGGGGATGTATGAGGAAAGGCGGTCCCTCATGTAGGCAGGCCCAGACCAGCACCTTGAAGCGAATCTGGAACACTATTTGGGAGCCAGTGCAACGACTTCAGCACAGGCTGGATGTGCTCCCACCTGGGGAGACCCGTCAACAGCCTGGCTGCCGCGTTCTGCACCAGCTGCAGATGTTCTTGTGTGTTATCTGTAGGCAAATGTGCTGTGTGTAACAGCCCCGTAGCCAGGATGTTGTGGCTTGTGGGGCAAAACTTTTTTTCTGGTGGGGCTGCCATTATTCTCCATAATGACTCAGCCCTCTCCCTCCCTTCCTGCAAGATTTAAAGGGCCCTCCACCTCAACCGCAGGCCATGTGTCCCCGCCAATCAGCTGGAGTGCCCTTTAAATCTTGCAGGAGGGGTGGGAGAGGGGCGCATGCCACCCCCTTTTCCTCAAAAGCATTTAAAGGATCCCTTTAAAGGGGCCCTTTAAGGAAGGGGGCGGGCCCTCTAAGGAAGGGGGCAGAGCCCCCCAATAGCCCTGCTGCAGCTATGGCCCAGGTGTAAGGGGAGTGTGCTTGCATTTGTGCTCCAAATTTGTGCTTTTAGGATCCCTCACAAACGCACATGAAACTACCTTCTACTCAGGGCTTTTTTTGTAGAAAAAGTCCAGCAGGAACTCATTAGCATAATAGGCCACGCCCAAGAGCAGAAACTCATTAGCATATTAGGCCACACCCCCTAACTGCACCACTCATTAGCATATTAGGCCACACCCCCATGTTACCAGAAGTGTGGTCATCCAGCCACACCCACCTTTTGCTTCTTATTCTGTTTCCCTTGTTTATTGTCAAAACCCAGGGCCTTTTTTTTGTAGCAGGAACTCCTTTGCATTTTAGGCCACACCCCCTAATGTAGCCAATCCTAATGAGTTCCCGCTGTTGGGTGTGGCCTATTATGCTAATGAGTTCCTGCTGGGCGTGGCCAACTTGGGAGCCAGCCGGAACTCCGTTCCTGTGCGTTCCTGCCCCAAAAGTAGCCCTGCTTCTACTGAATCAGACCCTTGGTCCATCAAGGCCAGTATTGCCTACTCAGACTGGCAGCCGCTCTCCAGGGTCTCAGGCTGACGTCCTTCACATCACCTACTACAACCTGGTCCTTTTCACTGGAGATGCCGGGGATTGAACCTGGGACCTTCTGCATGCCCAGCAGAGGCCGCTACCACTGAGCCACAGCCTTTGATGCTTCTTTGCCAGGCTCATTGTTCCCTGCTGTAAAAAGGGTGTCTCTCCTTTGGATTCACTGGGAATCCTTGGGAACAGCCTCAGTATTCCCCACCTGTAAAATGGGTGCGTGTCGTCTCAAATACCTTCCACGCACTTCTTTCCCCCCCAAAAAAAACAATTTATTAGGATATAATATTAGTTCAAATACACAACATACTCTTCTTTATTATACATCCTTTCTCCTCTCTCCCCCCCCCCGGCTTCCCACAGTGCTTCAACCTCCAGCCCATTTCTTAGTTCTGTTCTATTTTCCACTTATCTTTTAATAATAATCTATCGGTAACACTTTCTTCTACTATTATTTTCTCTTAGTTAACTTTCACCTAATTACATTAGCTTTTCAATAATTGTCAAAGCAAATTAGATTGTTTTTTACATCCCAGTATTTTTCTAAGTACTCTTTAAAGTCTTTCCAGTCTGCATAAAATTCTTCTGCTTCGAGGTTCTTAAGTTTCCTCGTCATTTTGTCCATTTCAACCATAAATAATAATTTCTTTATCCATTCTCCGATTTCCGGGATTCTGTCTTGTTTCCAACATTGTGCATAAATCATTCTAGCAGTTGTAATCATATACCATATCAAAGTTATTTTCTGTACATTCACTTCTTCCATTTTAAGTTCCAACAGTAGTATTTCAGGTTCTTTCTTAAAATTACATTTTACAATATTTCCATTTCTTTGTGTATCTCAGCCCAATAACGTCTTGCTTTATCGCACGTCCACCACATATGATAAAAGGAGCCTTCCGTTTTTTTACATTTCCAACATTTGTTTGACATATTACTATTTATATTTGCAATCTTTTTTGGTGTCATATACCATCTATACATCATCTTATAACAGTTTTCTTTTAGATTATTACACGTTGATATTTTCATAGCATTTTTCCATAAAAATTCCCAAGTTGCCATATCTATTTCTTTGTTCATATTAACTGCCCATTTTATCATCTGTTCTTTAACTGCTTCATCCCTTCCACGCACTTCTGACCTCGGCCATATGTGGCATGTCTCTTGGTATCAGTTTGCTCTTTTTTGCATGAGCTTCCTTGGCCTGTCCCTTAGCCTTTCTCTGCCTATCCGTGACACCAAACTGCGGCCCTTAGAGAAGCCACGTGGCGTGCATATAGCAGACACACAGAAACCTCGGCCTACGCGAGTCTCAAGACAGCTTTCAAAGATATGTTGTCAAAGGCTTTCACGGCCAGAGTTCATTAGTTGTAGATTTTCCAGGCTGTGTGGCCGTGGCCCGGAAAATCTACAACTAAAGTTTTCAAAGAAATCATCAGAGAAACCAAGGGGTGGTGGAGGAGGGAGATGCAGCCATGTTTTGCCCCTGGATTGCGGCACTGAGGACTAGAAGCTTGCACCCCTGCTCTTTGGTGTAGTGGTTAAGTGCGCGGACTCTAATCTGGGAGAACCGGATTTGATTCCCCACTCCTCCACTTGCAGCTGCTGGATGACTTTGGGCAAGCCGTAGTTCTCTCCAGGGGTCATTTTGTAGAAAAAGAGGTGCAGGAGCTCATTAGCATAACTCATTAGCATAACTTATTTGCATGTGCCACACCCCCTGACATCACTGGAAGTGTGTCAGAAGGCAACACCCACTGCAACTTATCTAGCTGCTTCTTGCTCCTCATGGCCCAGGGCTGCTGGGAGAATGGGGCGGGGCTTGTTGCATGTGCCCGCCCCCTGGTCTCTTTACTGCCGGAGCTCTGCTCCTGTGCGCTCCTGCAGGAAATGACCCCTGGTTCTGATAAGAGCTGTTCTTGAAAAAAGAGCAGTTTCTGTCAGAGCTCTCTCAGCCCCGCCAACCTCACAGGGTGTCTGTTGTGGGGAGGGGAAGGGAAAGGAGTTTGTAAGCCGCTCTGAGACTACTTTGGGTTGTAAAGGAGTCTCCTCCTCCTCCTCCTCCTCCTCCTCCTCTTCCTCCTCCTCTTCTTCTCTTTGCTGCTCAGCTTCAGGCTTCGGGCTCCTCTCCCCTAGCCCCCAAACTCCCTCATGAACACATACAACTGCCTTAAACTGATTCATACCCTCGGTCGATAAAGGTCAGTCTTGTCTACTCCGACCTCTCCAAGGTCTCAGGCTGAGGTCTTCCACATCACCTCCTGCCCAGTCCTTTTCACTGGAGATGCCGGGGATTGAACCTGGGACCTTCTGCATGCCAAGCAGAGGCCCTACCAATGAGCCACTCTCCATTCCCTTCTCCATCATCTGCCCTTTCCGCTGGTCCCTGAAACTTGGCCCCTTCTCCCTTTTCTTGAACACTTCCTCCAGACCTCCTGCTTCTGGATCCCCCACCCCACATACAGTTGCCAACCTCAGTTTGGGAAATTCCCGGATAATTGGGGGGCTGTAGCCAAGGGAGGGTGGAGTTTAGGGAGAGGAGGCACCTCCGTGGGGGTAGAATGCCTTAGAGCCCACCCTCCTAGAGATGTGAGGGCCCGGAAAAAAAACTGGAAAAATTCGAGGGGAAACCATTTTCCCACCGTTTTTTTCCTGAAGCTTTTTTGTTTTTTCCGAAAAATTGGAAAAATTGAAAAAAGAAAAGAAAAGGAAAAAATTGAAAATGGAACATTTTATTTTAACATGATGAATAAAATATTTTAAGACAAGGTGTTCAAATATTTTCCAAATCATTTCTAATATATCAGATTGATGTAATTTCTCTGCACTGCGGACAAACAAGTCCTAGGTTACAAACGGAACTCTCCAATGCAAGAACGAGATGCATTTCTTCCTTTAGGAGGTGCTATTGTCAGAAGAAAATAAAAAGGTTTCAGTTTTGTTTTTGCATATGGGTGGGTATTCTGTTTGTATTAATTGTTTGGATACACTACATTATTAATATGCTAGTTGTGATAGTTTCATGCCAAGTAAAAATGTCCATAGTCATATTTTATGTTCCTAAAGTAACAGAATGACTTTCAATCTAGAAAAGACAAAAGAAGTGCTAATGTAGCATTTTTTTTTCAATTTTCCCAAAAAATTCCATTTCCCCCCCAAAAAAAACTGGGGAAAAAATGAGGGTTTTTTTTCTGAGCTTCAAAATTTCTGGAAATTTTACATCTCTACACCCTCCACAGCATCCATTTCCTCCATGGGGAACTGATCTCTGTAGTCTGGAGCTGAGTTGTAATTCCAAGAGATCCCCAGGCCCCACCTGGAGGATGGCAACTCTATGCGACTCAGACGTTAAACTGGGTGCTCTTCAGGAGGGAGGTAGAATGCCACGAGGGAGGCAGGTCTGGAGAAAATGCTGGAAGACGAGCAAATCCTGAGCCAGAGGGGGCAAGCTGGAAGAAGGAGGAGGAGGAGGAGGAGGAGGAGAAGATGGGATTTATACCCCGCCCTTCACAACCCAAAGCTGTCTCAGAGCGGCTTACAAACTCCTTTCCCTTCCCCTCCCCTCCCCACAACAGACACCCTGTGACAGACCATGGGCAGGATAAACTCTTGACAGGGCGGCAATGTTTTTAGGGCACGCATTTTAGCCTGGCCACGAGGGAGGAGGAGGAGGAATGGGATTTATACCCCCGCCCTTCACAACCCAAAGGTGTCTCAGAGTGGCTTACAAACTCCTTTCCCTTCACCTCCCCACAGCAGAAACCCTGTGAGGTAGATCAGGGGCAGGACAAACTCTTGACAGGGCTGCAATGTTATTAGGGCACGCATGTTAGCCTGGCCCCGGGGACAGGGTGGGACCCATATGAATCCCACAGCCCTTTCCAACTTCCACCATGTCATGACTGGGCTCTTTTCCTCCTCCAGATGTTGCCCTTCTATCTGCCGCCCCTGCTGGCCACCATGTTATAATCCGTGCAATCAAGGTGAGTGTTTTATTTATTTTGTCTTTTGAGTATTTTGTTGAGAGCCAGTTTGGTGTCGTGGTTAAGTGCGCAGACTCTAATCTAGTCCGGGCTCCTGTCTCGCACGGTGGCCAACCAGTTCATCTGGAGGGCCAACAACAGGGCACAGAGGCCGAGGCCCTCCTCTGAGGTTGCCTCCTGGCTCTGGGACTGAGAGTATTAGTGCCTCTGAATGTGGATAACAAAGTGTGAGTCCAGTGGCACCTCTAAGACCAACAAAAGCCCCGTTCACACGGGGAATTTGCCGTGGGAGAGCCACGATTGGATGGCAGATTTTCCGGCCGCGATCACACCACAACATCTGGGAAGTGGAGCACACCCGTGGCCAACCCGTGGCAAGCCGCTGAAAATGCGCTATAAAAAAACACCTCAACTAAGATGGTACGAAACGGTTTGCCACGGGCTGCCTCCTGACTCCCTTGTGTTTTCCCTCTGGCCATCTGCGTCGCAGTGCGCACGCCGACGGTTGGAACCGTGGGTTGCCGCCGACGCGTCTGATCGCGTTGTCGTGTGGCTACTTGCTGCACCGCAAATAGCCACGCCTCCCCCCCCCACGGCATTTTCCGGCCCGTGTGACCGGGGCCAAAATTTAATTCTGGGTATAATCTTTCGTGTGCAGATGAAAGCTTTTACCCAGAAATAAGCTTTGGTCCCGTTCACACGAGGGGATTTGGGCCAGTAGCGGGACGGTTCATGGGCGGAGCAAATGGCCTCGATCACACCACAACATCTGGGAAGCGTAGTGCTTCCGTCCCCAAACTGGCCCATCCACGCGATAAACCGCTCCAAGTTGGAACCACCTACCGAGGTGGTCCATCCCAATGGTGCGCCGCAAACTGGGAGTCGCATCCTTGCGCCGGCGCGTCCCCGGCTCCTAGGCGAACTGCGCATGCTCCGACATGCGCAGTTCGGCTGGCTCGCCGTCCGATCTGTGTTTTCTCCCCAGCGTCTGATCGTGCCGGGGAGAAAGGCGGCACGGCCAGGGGATCCATGGGATCCCGCCGTGCCGTTTCAACTTTGGCGCGGCTTTTAAAAGCCACGCTTTTTGGCGGCTTTTCCCCTGCCGTGTGGCAGGGGCCTTTGTTGATCTTAAAGATATGAATGCTTCTTCCCAGAATTAAGATTTGTTGGTCTTAAACGTGCCACTCCACTAAAACTTTGTTCTGTTGCTTCAGGCCGACACAGCGACCCACCTGAATCCAGGGCTATTTTTGGGCAGGAACGCACAGGAACCGAGTTCCAGCTGGCTTCAGAGTTGGCCACGCCCACTACAGCTAAAACCTCTGTGTGCCTGGCTACAGAGGGAAGGCCTGGAGAGTGACCCCCCCTGGCAAGCTGGAGGCAGGAGGGCCGGGGGGGGGGGGTCTGGAAGGATCAGGGAGGCATTTAAATCTCTCCTGGTGCCTTCCCCGGCCTGTCCACGGGTAGCCTTCCCTTCAAGGGGGGGCTTGCCAAAGGAAGGCATGGGGTGTGGCATAATACGCTAATGAGCTGCTCTGTCAGGGGTGTGGCCTAATATGCTGATGAGTTTCTGCTGTTGGGTGTGGCCTATCATGCTAATGAGTTCCTACACAAAAAAAGCCCTGCCTGAATCTGTCTGAATGTGGAGTTTCCCCTCAGTCACCATGGCTAGTAGCCACTGATAGAACTACCTTCCATAAATATATCAAATCCCCCATGAAAGCTGTGTACTCCTGTGGCCATCACGGCACCCTCTGGCAGCAGGTTCCACATTTCAATCACTCTCGGGGTGGATTCCGCAGTTCAGTCGAGGCAGGGTTATTTTGGGGGAGGAATGCACCGGAACGGCATTCCGGCTGCCTTCCGAATTGGCCTTCCCTTCCCTTCAAGGGCTGGCTCGCCTGGGCGCCCCGCAGCAACCTGTGTGTTGAATACATGATTAGGGCTGCGGTCACACGTAACAGAAGCCACACAAGTTAGACGGAAAACAGCCGGAGTTTCCGGGCACGATCTCACCAGCACATCTGGGAAGCGTAGCACTCCCGTGGCTCAACCGAGGCTTCCAGCCGAAACTGCGTGGCAAAAAACTAGTACCTTGGAGGTACTAGTTTCCGGAAACTGCGGGGCAAGGGCGGGCGTCTGATCGCGTTTCCGGTGGCATCCGGCGCCCGCCCATGTCCCCTTGCAAATAAGGTGGGGGTTTTTTTGTCCGAGCCTCTGTGGATGCGCATGTGCACCCAACGGAGCATGCGCATTTGTCATGTACACAAAAATAAAAAACAGTTTGCCGCGGCGCGCGCTTCTTCGTTGCGCGCCGGCTTCTCCTGTGATCGGCACCTCTCCCTTGCCATGGAACCTCCACGGTACCTCCACAGGACCTCCACAGGAGGTCTGATCGCGTAACTGCGCAGTAGTTTGCCCCAGGGCAAACAGCCATGCTTCTCCTCTGCAGTTTCCTGCCCGTGTGACCAGGGCCTAGGGATTGTTGTGCATACTGCTGTGTTTAGCTTATTGTCAATAGGATCCTCTTCATGTCATTTCTGTACCCTTTAATATGTCATGTGAATATTTATGCTATGCTTCAGTTTCTTTCTGGCGGTTCCAGACTTCTAAAATCCTAATACCCAGGGCTGTTTTTGTAGAAAAAGCCCAGCAGGAACTCATTAGCATAACAGGCCACACCCAACAGCAGGAACTCATTAGCCTATTGGGCCACACCCCTGACAGCACAGCTCATTAGCACATTAGGACGCACCCCCATGTTACCAGAAGTGTGGTCATCCAGCCACACCCACCTTTTGCTTGTTATTCAGTTTACCTTGTTTGTTGTCAAAACCCAGGGCCTTTTTTTGTAGCAGGGACTCCTTTGCATGTTAGGCCACACACCCCTCATGTAGCCAATCCTAATGAGTTTCTGCTGTTGGGTGTGGCCTATTATGCTAATGAGTTCCTGCTGGGCGTGGCCAGCTCGGGAGCCAGCCGGAACTCCGTTCCTGTGCGTTCCTGCCCAAAAATAGCTCTGAAGGTACATACCCTGGCCGCAGAAATACCCAGTGAGGGAATTGCTGCAAGGCTGACGACTGAGCAGGTGTGAAGCCCAGAGGGAAAATCCTTGTCACCTAATTAAGTCTTCTGACGCATTAACTGATTCTTCTCTTATTTCATTTCTGTTTCAGGATGCTATGGCCCTTTGCAGTGGTAAGTTGATGGGGAATGGAAACGAGACTCATATCTGGGAGGGGAGGACCGATACACAATGCTACCCCCCCCAACTCATCCATCTAGCGCTGTTCCTTCATAGACATCCTACTCCACTTTGTCTTCCTTACTTCAATGCTGTTTCCAGGTCCATCCACCCAGTGGTGCCCTCTGCTTATTCTGCTTCTGGGTTTTCCTCTTGCCGTGTTGCAATTTTTTCCCAAACCTGGTTTGCTACTGTTTTCTGGGAAAGATCGCAGCCGGGCCTCCTTTGGATGGAAACGTGCTCGTTCTTTTTAGATCCTATGCCTGTCAGCGCCATTTTCCTTCCTTCAATCCCTGCAGCCGCCATCTCCCCTCCAAACCAACAGTGGAAGGCTTTTTTTCAGGCTTCTGAGTCCTTTTCCTTGTGAAGTTTAAGGGGAAAGGTGCTGATTGTCTATTTCTTCCTATAACTTGTAAGAGCGAAAGAGGTTTTCAGAGGTGAATTGTGGCTGCAGTCACACACACTCAATAATCCACTTTTAATGCACTTTCCAACTGGATTTTTACTGTGTGAACTGGCAAAATCCCATACGAAAGTGCACTGAAAGTGGATTATTTAGAGCGTGTGACCACAGCCTGTGATTGTCTGGCATCTGCGTAACAACCCTAGACTTCCTTGGTGGTCTCCCATCCAAGTACTAACCAGGGTCAACCCTGCTTAAATTCTGAGATCTGATGAGACCGAGCTAGCCTGGGACTTTGATGTTAGGGTAACAGAGGAAGCTATTACCAATATTGCAAAAAATAAAATGAAATAAAATAAAATTAAAGCCTGAAAAAGACCTTCAAAGGCATGGGGAGGAAATGACGGCCACAGAGGGCTGAGACAAAGAAATAGAAGGGGAAACTTCACATGGGAATTCCCCGTTGCAACCCTGAATGACTCTGTGTCCACAGCGGCAACAAGAGCGACGTGGAGAATTGTTTCTCTGTGGAAGGAGTCCATCAATCTCATTTTTAGCTTGTCTTTCCACCAAGGAGCTCCGTGATTCTCCCCTCCTCCATTTCATCCTCACAACAACTTTGCGAGGTAGTAGAACAAATCTAGAGTCCAGTGACACCTTTAAGATCAACAAAGTTTTCTTCGAGGTATGAGCTTTCGTGTGCATTCACACTTCTTCAGATACACTGGAATGGTAGGTAAGGTTCAGACTTATAGATGGGGGCTGAACACCTAATTAACATCATGCAAAGATGTGCCAAGACAGAACGAAATAAACAAGCTAAGGTTATAAGGTCAACAGGTGTCAAGCAATAAATATGTCAAAATAGCAAATAAATGTGTCAAGGAGACCTCAAAGTAGCTGTTTTATTACAAAGGAACCTCAGGAACAGAATGGAAAGAGAAACTGAGTTTCCCTAGCTCTTTTTCTACAAAACGACCCCTGAGTAGAAGAAATCTAGAGTCCAATGACACCTTTAAGATCAACAAAGTTTTATTCAAGGTATGAGCTTTCGTGTGCATTCACGCTTCTTCAGATACACTGGAATGGTAGGTAAGGTTCAAACTTATAGATGGGAGCTGAACACCTAATTAACATTATGCAAAGATGTGCCAAGAGAGAAGGAAATAACAAGCTAAGGCTATAAGGTCCTCAAAAGAAGGGGTGGGAATGCTGTTAAGTGACCTCCACACCTGAGAGGAGAGAATGGAGAGTATCAGTTTACTTCCCACAATTAGAAAATATACCTTTACACATTTATCTGCTATTTTGACATATTTATTGCTTTACACCTGTTGACCTTATAACCGTAGCTTGTTATTTCGTTCTGTCTTGGCACATCTTCATTGTGTTACATGTTAATTAGGTGTTCAGCCCCTGTCTATAAGTCTGAACCTTCCCAACCATTCCAGTGCATTTGAAGAAGGGTGCATGCCCACAAAAGCTCATATACCCTTGAGTAAACCTTTGTTGGTCTTAAAGGTGCCGCTGGACCGCTGGATTCTCAATTTGTTCTACTGCTTCAGACCAACACGGCTGACCCCCTGGATCTATCTTGTGAGGTAGGTTTTCATGGAGAGAGTGAGAATGACTAGACCAAGGTCACTCAGTGAGCAGCATGGCAGAGTAAGGATTTGAAACTGGGTCTCCGAAGTCCTGCTCTCATGCGAACGACCAGGGGTCATTTCATAGAAAAAGAGGTGCAGGAGCTCATTAGCATAACTCATTAGCACTTGGCACATCATGTTACATGTTAATTAGGTGTTCAGCCCCTGTCTGTAAATTTGAACCTTCCCAACCATTCCAGTGTATTTGAAGAAGGGTGCCTGCCCACAAAAGCTCATGCACCCTTGAATAAACCTTTGTTGGTCTTAAAGGTGCCCCGCTGGATTCTCAATTTGTTCTACTGCTTCAGACCAACACGGCTGACCCCCTGGATCTATCTTGTGAGGTAGGTTTTCATGGAGAGAGTGAGAATGACTAGACCAAGGTCACTCAGTGAGCAGCATGGCAGAGTAAGGATTTGAAACTGGGTCTCCGAAGTCCTGCTCTCATGCGAACGACCAGGGGTCATTTCATAGAAAAAGAGGTGCAGGAGCTCATTAGCATAACTCATTAGCATAAC